CTTACCCTCCTCACATCCTACAGTCACATACATCCTTAACCCTCCTCAACAACCCTACAGTCACATACATCCTTACCCTCCTCACATCCTACAGTCACATACATCCTTACCCTCCTCACATCCTACAGTCACATACATCCTTACCCTCCCACCCTACAGTCACATACATCCTTACCCTCCTCACATCCTACAGTCCACATACATCCTTACCCTCCTCACATCCTACAGTCACATACATCCTTAACCCCTCCTCACATTCCTACAGTCGCATACAATCCCTTACCCCCTCACATCCTACAGTCGCATACAATCCTTACCCTCCTCACATCCTACAGTCACATACCATCCTTACCCTCCTCACATCCTAACGGTCACATACATCCTTACCCTCCTCACATCCTACAGTCCACATACATCCTTACCCTCCTCACATCCTACGGTCACATACATCCTTACCCTCCTCACATCCTACAGTCACATACTCCTTACCCTCCTCACATCCTACAGTCACATACATCCTTACCCTCCTCACATCCTACAGTCACATACATCCTTACCCGCCTCACATCCTACAGTCACATACAATCCTTACCCTCCTCACATCCTACAGTCACATACATATCCTTACCCTCCTCACATCCTACAGTCACATCCTCCTTACCCTCCTCACACCCTAGAGTCACATACATCCTTACCCTCCTCACATCCTACAGTCACATACATCCTTACCCTCCTCACATCCTACGGTCACCATACATCCTTACCCTCCTCACATCCTACAGTCACATACATCCTTACCCTCCTCACATCCTACAGTCACATACATCCTTACCCTCCTCACATCCTACAGTCACATACATCTTTACCCTCCTCACATCCTACAGTCACATACATCCTTACCCTCCTCACATCCTACAGTCACATACATCCTTACCCTCCTCACATCCTACAGTCACATACATCTTTACCCTCCTCACATCCTAGAGTCATCTCGCTCCTGCTGTTGGTCTGTGGGTTTCACTTTAGACACGTATATTACAGCACCTTATGTGTGAGAGATGCACGTTATAAATACAATTATAATTATATTATTATTATTATTATTATTCATATTTAATAAACATGACAGTGGCTTGGCTTCTTCTTACGCTACTAAGCCAGCCGTGTCAATTCTGCCATTAAAAAGCCAGAGTTCTGAGAGTAAGAAACGTGATATGGAACATGGAATTAATCCAAAAAAACTGCAG